CGGCGCAGGCAGACCCGGCGGCCACGCGCGCTCGCGGTGCCCCAGTATCTGCGCGCGATGTAGGTCGCTTGTCCCAGGTGGGCTCGGTTGCTGTATTGCTCAGGCCCGGCCCAAAGCCTGAGGGTGCGAGCCCAGGCGCACAGCATGGAACAGCGGTGGCCGCGAAGCTTTTAATTAGGGCTCCGGCGCCCGGACTGCAGCAGCTCTGGCTATATCGGGGTCACGGTTTCTTTGCCTCTCCTTGAAACTCGGTTTATTGCCTTTAAGAGCCAGATAAGGAAGACAATCACTCGACCGCCGACGATTTGGAAACGAGGAAATCCTACCCAGACCAAAGGAGTATCTCCCAGCCAAGTCCTGCAAATACAGACCGAGGTGAGCCCTAGGATCCTCAGGCAGCACCCCGAGTCGGGAGTTGGGACCCAAGTCGCCCAGAGTCGTCCCCCCACCCCGCCCCCGGCTTTGGCTTATGAGGAAAGCTTTCACCAAGAGTAGGCGGCTGTGGGCCCCTTCTGCAGCTGGCAGATAAATAAACAACGCAGGCAAGGTGCAGGCCAGGTCTCCTGAGTCGCTTACCTCCTTGGTGGGTTTGAGCTCTTCCGGGTAAGAGAGCATTTCAGAAGGAATTAGGAACACCATCACCCACATCAAACAGGCCAGAGGGCACTCCCTGCTCTAAGATAGCCTCCCTTCCCTGGGCCTCCTCCAGCGGGTCACTCTCTACAATGATGGCTACATCCCAAAATGTTGGCTTGGAGTGTGGGTAGTACTGGCCTGTAACTGTCTCCTCTAATGGCACCAAATCTGGAGTAGGTCCCTGACTTAGCACAGTTCCCAGGAAGCTCACCCCTCCCCTCCCAAGGCCCCTCCCAGACAGAACCCCTCTCACCTGTCCTCCTATCCCAGGCGAAGATGGGCTCACCCTGGAGGTCACTGCCACGCAGTTAGTGGAGAAAGATATCGAGAACCTGGCCAGAGGTGAGGTTAAACCTGAGATGGGGCTACTCTGGGGGGACGGGGGCTGGGGGGAGGATTGGCCTTCTTGTAGGGGGTGAAGTTAAATCTGTGAAATGGGGCTACTCTGGGGGGCCCTCTTGTAGGGGTGTCATTCCTGTTGGTGTGAGAAGACAGGGCTCTTGGGCAGTCGGTCTTCACCAAGGGGAAAGGATGACCGGGCACACTGTCCTGGGGCAGAGGAGTGGGTGTGAGAGGGGGTGGCTAGAGGAAACCAGACCCCAGAGGCTCACTGGAAGTGTGCGTTCCTAAGGCCAGGTCTGTCTAAACAGCCCAGTGAGAAAGAGAAGCGAGTACAGAGCCTAGGAACTTACTGCATGTGGGCAATCAGGACATTCTGGGTCTCCCAAACTCCCTGGAAGACGTGACTTTCTGAATAGCAAGATTCCTAGGAGGCATCTACTTTAGGAATGCTCAAGGGGTTAACTTTTTTCCTGGAATTCATGTAAAACCACTCACCCCACCCTAAATGGGGTGGGGATGCAGCTCATTTGCAGAATAGGGTCCTTGGGGGGTTGCTCAGCCTGTCAGGGAGAGTGTGTGACTTCAGGCACAGAGGGGAGCCTCTGACCCCACTTTGCTCCTCTCTCTCCCCTTTTTGTGTTTTTGAGCACCTGCTCGGCAAGGACTTCTCAGAGAGCCTCCCCAGGGGGAGGACCCAGGTGCCGAGAGCTCCATGGTCAAGGCAGCCCCCTGCCGTGTCTCTGGAACTGGTGTCTGAGGTCACTAGCAGGGTTTCCCACCTCTGCCTGCTACCCTCTCCCCAAACTCGCCCAGGGATGAGCTTGGAAACTGTTGTGGGGAGAGAGAAAAGCATCTGTGGTCTTTGACTCTGTAGCTACAGATTTTGCAGGATATGTAATTACCTTCAAAATCATTGGTGCTTTATGTGAGTGTTTTTAGCATGGATTTGGGGCTGTGCTGATAGCATTCATATAAAATGGTAAACAAACTGTTGTAAGTATGTGTATTTTTCCAGGGCTGGGGTCCAAGACTTTGACCAGATTCTCCCTGGCCTGTATGACTGAAGGGAAAGATTAGGTCTCACTTTTGAAGGGGTAAACTGAGTCCTCCTGATTAGGGAACTAGGAACAACTTGAAGCAGGGGCCACTCCGCTTGGTGACTTGAGCCAGGACTTGGAAGTGGAAAGTGCCGTCTACCATCCTGATTTGATTCTCCTGGGCAATTTACTTCCCACCCCTTCTTCCTGACCAAATCCTTTGGAAGCAAATGGGTAAACTGGGTGCTGAAGGCCTTTTCCCCCGACCCAACACCCCCAACGCCCATCTCAGGGCTACTGGCCTTGGCAGGACCTGCGTGCCTTGGGGCCTCCTGAGTCCTGCACACCCTCTCCTTTACCTCCCACTCTTGCCCGTTCACAGACGAGCTGCAAAAACTGCTCCTGGAGCAAATGGAGCTCCGCAAGAAGCTGGAGCGAGAATTTCAGAGTCTCAAAGGTACCCCCATCCTGCCCCACCCCACCCCACCCTACCCCACTTCACGGCCAGAACCTTCTTCCCTCCCGAGCCTGGCTCCAGGACCCCAGTGCCAGCCGCTGCCCTGCGCCCTGCACCGGGCACCGGGAGCCCTCCTTTGCCGGGGTTTCCCACTAGACCAAAGACTGGGGGTGGGGGTAGGGGTGCGGGTGGGGTGGGGGATGGGGAGCGGGAAAATGGGGCCGAGGGATGGGGGCTGTGCTTAACAGCTCTCACTTAATCAATTTGCACAGATAATTTTCAGGATCAAATGAAGAGGGAATTGGCTTATCGAGAAGAAATGGTGCAACAGCTGCAAATTGTCAGAGGTAAGACGGGAGTCAGGTGAGCGCGTGCACGGGCCATAACTGCCTTTCGTCTGGCAGGAGCCGCAATGTTGGCTCAGTCATTTGGATTTAAATTGAAGGTAATTTAACAATTATTTTTTTTATTTAATATCCTTTGTATACTCTGATTAGCCTCAGAATGGCAAGCGAGCCCAGCAAACGGCTTGCAGGCATCATTACATGGAGTGATTGAACTTCTTATCGCGGCAATTTCCATGGTTTCTAAATTAAAAATCGAGGCGTAAAATTACCTGGGAAGTAATGCCTAAGTTCGCTTTAATTTTGGTTAGATCCGTCTGCCTCTAAGCACCATCCCAGGCCATTTCCTCCCTCCGTCAGGCTGCAGTTTGGAGCCTTGATGCCTCCTCCCTCGGGCCCCCAGTCCTGTTTTCCGAAGGGGCTGAGAGCTGAGAAGAGGGTGAGGCTAGGGCTCTGACCCCGCCGGTCCGGTGGGACGAGTGGACTCATTTCCTCCCCGGCCCCTCCCATGTCTTCCAGACACTCTGTGTAACGAACTCGACCAAGAGCGGAAGGCGCGCTATGCCATCCAGCAGAAGTTAAAAGGTGCGGACGCCCAGGAACAAAGATGGGGGATGGGGGGTGCCAGACACTGGCTGTGCAGGAGAATGAATGAACGATAGAATGAATGAACGATCGAATGAATGAATGAATGATCGAATGAGTGACTGAATGAACGAATGAATGAACGAACGAAGAACCACGGTACTAGAGTGAGTGAAGGCCAGGTTTGCACGGATCAGAAGCTGAGAGGAGGAAAACAGGATTTGCTTTAATGACGAAATGGTTTCAGAACGGGTCGGGTAGGGAGAAAGAGCCCCCTGGGCTTTGGGCATTGGGAAATCTGCCCTCAGGTCCAACTCTTGCCTTGGGCAGATGGATCTTCCTCTTTCTGTGCCTCAGTTTCCTCTTCTGTAAAGTGGGGCCTTTGCACCAGAGCAGTGGTTTTGAACCGCCCAGTCTCTTTTCTACTCTCCTATCTTCTGATCCACTCCCTTGAGAACCCCTGAGCCGGAAGGGGGGGTGGGGGCGGGGGCGGGGGCGGAGACCCAGGCGGGCAGAGGAGAGGGGCGCGCGGACCGTGCCCAGGAAGCCAGGCAGGTGAGGCAACCAACGTGGTCTGCCCGACTGTCTCTCCAGAAGCCCACGACGCCCTGCACCACTTCTCCTGCAAGATGCTGACTCCCCGCCACTGCACTGGCAACTGCTCCTTCAAGCCCCCGCTGTTGCCCTAGGGCCGGCCCCGCCGCGCCCCCGCGCCCTCAAGCCATGCTGCTCTCTTCCTGTAAATACCTGCGGCCGAGGCGGCCGAGAGCGAGGAACAAGCCATCCGGACCGGACCGATGTAAATACAGCCTCCCGCCCGCCCTCCTCCCGGGCGCCCACTCCCGGGAGCCCCAGCCCAGGGCCCCGGCTCCATTTCCAAGTGTAAATACCATTCTGCCCCACGGTTGAACTCCAAGGCATTGGACCTCATGGGGTTAACTGGACAGAGGGGGTAAAAACGGGAAGAGGGAGACTACTCTTCGCCTCTGTACAGCCTCGGACCCCCCAGTTGTGATTACAATGTAGCAACTTGGCTGGCGCTGGCCCCGCGCCGGTCCGTCCACTTCTGAAACTTGTTCCTAATGACAAAGTGGCTATGTGCAATGGATATACATGTACTGTGAGTCTCTTGGTTCAGTACTGAGTTTACTTTATTTATTTATGCTGTATGTTGTTTTGCTTCCTTCTCCTGGACCTGCTTCCTGCCCCGTTTTGCAGTCCCTTTGGGGTTTTGCTTTGTCTCTATTTTGTTGTAACCTCTTGATGTAACCAGCACTTTAAAAAGGGCGACAACTGACTCACGAGATGGAGACCACCTTGACCTGTTTGGGGAGACCACCCTGTACCCGTGACTTTTGTTTTGTTTTTAATTAAAAAAAAAAAACCTGTCACTTCCGGAGGCGTGGAAGTGCAGCTGGGGAGCGGGGCAAGGTGGTCGGGGGCTGGCTAATGGCTGCGCAACAGGTGGAGCGTGAGGACCGACGCGCGCGTTCTGGGCGCAGGGCTGAGAGCCGCACCCGCTCCTGTGGGCAGCCGCGAGGCCGGACGCTGCAGCAGTCCGCAAACACCCGCAGCCTGTCCTCCAGGGCACGCCCTCCCCGTCTTCAGGACCCCCTTTGGGCCCGGGCCTGGGTAAAGAAGACTACCGAGGCGTAGTTCCTGGGCCCCTAGTCTCGCAGGGCGGGGAGGGGGGCAGAAGAGTTTATTCGTGCCATTTCCAGACGGTCCCACCCAAGGGGTCACCTCCTGGGCGCCCAGAGACCGGCCTTGCCCGGAACCCCAGGCTCACCCAGAATTGCCAGGAGCTCAGACACCGCGGGCCACGCCCTGGGGCGCTGGGTGGCGTCGGGGGCGAGGTAAGGGGGCAGGCCTGGGAGGGGCAGGTCTGGAAAGGCAGGGTGAGACTCAACGCGGGGGCACAGGCGCCCTCTCGCCTGCCCCGCTGCTCCCCAAAGGCCAAAGGGAAGGAGCCCTGGCAGAGTTTAATATTCCCTCCGTTTTAGTCCGAGTGGGATTGAGGACGTGGCGGTTGCAGCCCACCAGCCGCAGATGTCCATGTCGCCGCCCCCGACGGGGTGGGTGGGGTGGCGGCGCCGGGGCCGCGGTTACTAAGGCCTCACCTGGCCCGGGACCTCCAGTCGGCCTCAGTGTCCACAGCGAACCTGCTGGTGGGGCTATAGGGAAAAGATGGAAGCTGCTGCTCACTTTTTGGCATGGGGTAGGAGGAAAGTGTAAATGCAGGGGGAGCCCTAGCCGGTTTGGCTCAGTGGATAGAGCGTTGGTCTGCGGACTGGAGGGTCCCAGGTTCCATTCAGGTCAAGGGCACATGCCCGGGTCGCAGGCTCCATCCCCAGTGAGGGGGCATGCAGGAGGCAGCTGATCAATGATTCTCTCTCATCATTGAATAAAAATAAATAAATGCAGTGGGAGAGGGCCCGTATTGGGAACCACGCAGCCCTCGGCTGACCAGCAGGTCGTCCCTAGGCCTTGGTGTAGGGCTCTGTAGCATAACATTCAGGCCCTGCCCCGCAGAGCTGGGCAGCAGCGGTCCGCCGGGGGACCAGCATCCTACGACCCGCCCTCTCGACACACCCAGGCTCTCGCTGCGCCTCGACCTTGGGGAGGCCTGGGGCA